AAATACTAATGCATGAAAATCCTAACCTCAAAAAAATCACCCTTTATGAACTCCATACAAGTATTTGTCTTTATTAGCGAAAAAGGAACAAGATCTGATTCACCGTTCCTTCTTAAGCTGGAATAACATTTCGCAAGGACCCTTGAAGAGAGCGAAACAAGTAGAACAAATGGAAGTCTGACGATGAAAGGTTAGGCTAGCATTCTGGGCAGATGTCTGTGGTCCCGGGAGTTCGTTCATCCAAACTATCCAGTCGCCGAAAATATTCATTGGAACTGATGGTTCTGTTTATTGGTAGAAGCTCAGGAAACCCCTTATCCTTCCAATAAAATCGCACTGAAAGTATAAACTTCGTTTGAAGAAGTTTTTACAAATCATCACGTTGCGACCAAGAGAGATTGCAAAGCCCTTGCACGGTGCACGAATTGGTAAAAACCTGGGCTTTGCAAGACTTTGAGAATACCCATATTGTTTTAAAGAATCACCTTTTCTTAACTAGTTGCCGTTAGGTCTAAAACACGATCGCTTTATTCACCTTTAAGCAGCATTTTGAAGATACATGTATCTATACGCACCGTCCAATCACCATATTTGAGTTCATTTGGAATCCAAATATCCAGCTTGCTGCGTTTTCAGATGGCAGTGAAAACTTTCTATACTGATTTTCAATGTTTCTCTTGCAACATGTATCAACGGTTTGACAGGATAAAAGCCTTTATTCTTTCTTCATCAACCTCGGTGCGCTTTTCTGTCGGAGCAGCATTTTTGGTGTCAAAATTACCAGTATTCGATTTTCTTAGCCAGTCTTGGCACTGACTTTTATCAAGACAATTATCACCCCTCGCTTGGACATTGATTAACTTGTCCGATATGTTACCACATTGTAGAACTCCTCGAACGGTAACTACAGGTAATCGGTGTATGTCAGTAGAAGCTCTGATAGGTTCAAAACAGAGCTGCACAGGCAGCTGATGTCCACTCCGGAGGGTTCCTCAGGTTTGGTCCAGCAAATGCCGAGCAACTGTGAAGGAATTCATGAGATGATTCCACATCGTCCTCCAAGTAGCGGCGGCAGTAAGAGTGCGTGGGTTCCTAGTGGGCAGTGTCCGCTCAGTACACACGTAAGAATCGAGAGCTGACGCTTAAGCAGCGGCAGATAGCCCCTTGACCGCATGCGACCAGAAAGATCTTGCAAGTTGGCATGTCGGGGGTTTTGCCCAGCGCATGCTGAGCCGACTCTAAACCCATCAGCCCAGGAGTAGTGCGCAGGTTGCCAAAAGAACTCCTATGTCTTGCCTGTGCGGGGGGCGTCGAGGGTACCCGGCCTAGCCAACTTATCAGCCCTGCACTTTTCAGTGATGCCACTGTGTCCTGGCACACCCAAATCGTCTTGATTTGGAAATACTCTGAGGCATTGAAAGAGAGGTAAGCATTCTCCGCAATCTGGCAGCCTGAATATGAGATGTACTAAGAGTTTCTAGCAAAATACACCTGCCACAACTGCCATCTACGTTAAGATCCATTTCTTCCAGTAAGAAGTCCAGGTTTTTTAAAATTAACTCTAACTTAACGCAAGTTTTTACAACTTGTCGCAAGTCGCGGCTGTGATTTCTAAACATGCACCAATCTTCTAACTTTTTTAATATCACTTTCCAAGTTAAAAAGGTCGCTCTACACAAAGATCAACTCCACAAAACATTTTACCTAATTTTTTTTTTCTCCACATCACCCCTTTTAACCTAAGTTTCATTCACTACCTATTTAGAACTTGACTTGTTAATTCGCTAGAATTTCCATTTATTGCTTCTTATGAATGAATTCAAAAATGTAACAACAAAAAACATCAAAATGGCCACAAACTGTTTAAGACAACATTAGAAGCGTAATAAAATTTAACAGACATTCTAATATTTTTCTAAGAATGCTCTTAAAAAGCCAACTAATAAAAATAGTTTGCTTAATGAATGAAATCTCAGTTGTTGTGTGGCTACTTCGCCCGGTGCTACCACTATGATGAACTTGTTAGTTGAAGCAACTTGAATGTAGTTAATTTTTTGCTTTTTAACAACAAGAAATTATGTGTAAAAATTACGCGTGTGTAAACGTTTATTTTTTATTTTTTTATTTTTTTTTGTGTTCGTACGCACCTTTAATTTTCTCAGCTCATCGGACCATTTGCAACCCTGTTTATGGTGTATGCAGAAGACGAGTGAACCCATGATGGCTTGTTTGGGATCGGGGCCGGGGTAGATCTGCAAGAGAAAAAAAAACAAGTCTAATTAGTTTTGGAATTTAGTTAACTACTTTAGTAGCAGCAATATATGTACATATGTATGTATATAGTAATAATAAATAAGAGTTGACCATGGTTTGCAAGAGCTAAGATGTCAGCAGCTCCAAAGAAAATTTATCTTCTTAAAAATTTTAGTTAATATAGAGAAATATGTATATGTATGTATGTAAGTAGATAATTTATTTTACTTCTCAAGTTGTGGGTCTTCTAAGCTGTCGAACAACCTTTCATTATTTTCACCTTTCACTTGGAATTTTTTCTTCCAAACACTAACCTGATATTCGCCTTTTTTGCCGAAAATATTTATTAAACACTTCATGAATATTTCTAATGAGCGCTGTCACGTCAACTCACAGACTGTCATAAATTTAAAATATACATTGAGATTTATACTACAAGTAACACATATTTGCTTAGGCTCGCCACCAAGTGACATTTGTCACAGATAGGCTGGTGACCTGTTGGACAGTATATTTATTTGCTTTATTGATGAGAGAGGCTGATAATTTCGGATAAGCATTGATTGCACACGTCAGGCAGCGACCTTCCTTATCAGCAGGAGCGTTTTTTTATTACCCACAAAGCAATGTGAATGCATAAGGCAGCGAATATCTTAGTGGAAACTTACGTACGTACCTATTTATTTATTGAGTTAGAAAAAAGTAAAATATGAAAGGAATTGGTGTTTAAGGAGCTGAAAATTACTATTTTGTTTGTCTAAGAATCCATTTTCCTTATTTACCTGCCAGTTGACATGTGGTGGGAAAATAATTCTCTGAAGTAGTTGTTAACAAAATATTTATTTTCTCAATTTTAGCTGTTTACAACAACACGGTGTTAAAAAATCCAAAAATTTGTATAACGATTTAAGTAACCGAGTATATGTAGCTCGTATGTCAGAAAAATGAATTCCAACTGAAATATTTGACCGAGAGTTTAGAAAATTCTATTAAGAATAAAATGCGTCTTGAAAATAATGACCGCAACGAAAATATTCCTCTGAAAATTTTTGGGTAAAAATTTGGTCAAAGTGGTGAAAAAAAATTGATTCGAAATTTTCTATTTTTGTTTTAAAACACTTTCCTTATAATTTAGTACTGTATTTCTTCTGGAAAAAGTAGAAACATGTGATATTAAAATTATTGAAACCATCAACTGATGTAAATTTTTGTCTGTAAACTGAGATAATTTTCAAACAGAGTGCAACCCTCTTTAAAAATATTTTCTGCAGTAAACTTTCTAAGCCTCTTAAGTTTGGTAGCCATAATGCTATATTTAATTTATCTCATCAGCTAAATTAAATTAAATTAAATTTTCAAGCAGGTGGCAGCCTTAAAGAAATCTATTTTCGCCTGTAAGAAAGCTTTCTTTTGACCACATATTTCAATATTTTCTTTATCTTATCAATTTACTTAAACAGCAATTTTCAAACAGTTGGCAACTCTAAAATTTTTTTCTTTCTATATTTTAAGTCAGACCTCTAGCAATACATCGCTGAAAACTACGCTCAATTCCCTGCATTCGTTTTCAAGTGATGCGCCTACAAACATACAGACAGACAGATAGACAAAAATTCTAATAGTTGTTGATTTAGCTTCTATTGCTCTAATAAATATCCCAAAATTTAATTTTTCTTTAATATCTATAATGTACAGACATCGGCTTGTTACAATTTTATTATATGTATAGATTGCAAATTTTTTATTAGAATAGGCATTTTCTTTAATTTATTTTATTTTATTTTATTTTACTTTATTTTATTTTATTTTATTTTATTTTATTTTATTTTATTTTATTTTATTTTATTTTATTTTATTTTA